TCCCATGGCTACTTTTAAAACAAATAAGCATACCATCACACGAAACCCTGTGATCACAATTCTTGCCAACCCCATTCTCCTCCAATGCAACCCATAAATGTCTTTCTCTGTGATGTTTTTCCCTGAAATGTCCCTTTTCAAACACCTTGAATATATACCCTGTATCCTTCAAATCACCACCAGAGAGCTTTCCCTTAAGCTAAGCTGCCCTTACATGGTAACTCTTCATCCCCTGAGAATATACTAATGAAAAAGTTTGCATTTGCTAATAACCATGCCAATTTACCATCAGTATTTTGAAACTGGTACAGCCTTGGTTCCAATCCTTTCCACGTATCATAATGTGTTGAGAAAGGGAGTAGTAATGATTTTGCCTAAGTTTTAGTATCCCAAGCAAAACAGACATTGATTCTCATAGCTAGTGGCATCTCTTCCAGACGATAGGAGACCCAGGAAACAGAGATTAGGACACTTGCCCGTGTGTCCTTTCTGGCATGTCTGCATTAAAATGAAAATTTTATTACAAGACACCACCACAGAAAGTATACTAACATGCTTCTGTGCCCTAAGTACTTGAAAACTGTAACTTCCTTATTAATGGTCTCAACTTCAGAATTACCTGAAGGTCACATCCTGGTATCATACGTGAAGCACCTAGAAGAATCCTACAAACATACTACATAAAAGTAATACATCATTTACTGCCATTTAGCACTATGATTACTTACATAGATTGTACAAAACCCTTGGGTAATTTTATTTTTTATTATGAGCCTTAAGATATTTCTCTCATTTTTTATTACTCAATGATCTATTATCATAGCTCTTTTTCATTAGAAATCTAATGCAGAATACATTCAGAACAAAAAGTGAAGAGAGGCTACTTTAAATCACCAGTCCTCTGCAAGAACACAAACTAAAGAACGTATCTCTTCATAGCATTCAGCAGAGTCACCATTAATAGCTGCACAATCGCTAAATGCTGAGATCTTAACATCTTATGGTTGCACATTGCTGTACAAACAAAACTTTCTTTAGTGAACCTGTAATTCAAAGTACTGAATACACCTATATCTTAAACTATACTACATATTTTCCATTAGTTTGTGTTAACACTTCAATCTGTGAACAAATACGCCTTAACCTGGCAAATGTAGGCAGAAGTCATGTCTCATTCAGAAATTGAGGTCAGATTCTTAAAGCAGTAGTCAAAAGTTAAACATTAAAAAAAAATAAATACATCAGCCTAAATTACGAAGAATTCCAAAGATCAAAAAAATCACCTAAAAAGACTACACAAAAGAATGTCTTAACTAAAATAAGTTAATATATCCTCTATGTGAGTATAACTCATCACTGTCAGTGTCTCCTTAGAAGGCCCGGGGAGACCAAGAAACAGATCTGGACAAAAGAGAACATAGTAAAAACTACTTGTGTCATCTCTCTAAAAACTCACTTATTCTTTGTGACCTAGAAGTTTACCCTCCATATTTGATGACTCAAATTACAGTTACATAAAATACGTAATTACTAGTGGAGATAATGATCATGAGCACAGGTTCAAGAGTCTAAGAGCCAGAGTGTGAATCTAGGCTCTGCCATTTATCCACTGTACGTAGTTGGCCAGCTATTTAACTCTCTGTGCCTTAAATACCTCATTTGAAAACGGGCGTTAGTAGTTCCTACCTCATAGGGTTATTGGGAAGATTATGAGCTAATACACATAAAACCTGTAGAATGGTACCTATTTATTATTAAAATAACGTTATTGAAGTGCACCTGGGTTGCTCAGTCGGTTAAGCATCAGACTCGATTTCAGCTCAAGTCATGATCCCACAAATTGTGGGTTCAAGCCTCACTATCAGTGTAGAGCCTGCAAGGGATTCTCTCTCTCCCTCTCTCGCTGCCCCTCACTCACTTGTGCTCACTTGTGCACATTCTCTCTGACTCTCTTAAAATAAATAAGCTTTTAAAAACAAAACAAAATAAAAAATAAACTTACTGAAAATGTTTAAATGTGTGGTCCCTGGTAATGGTTACTCCTTATATTCATAAGTGCTCCAGGCAGCATACCAGTTAATTAAGCTCTTCACTATTATACAAAACACCTTTGAAACTTCAGGTGTTTACAAATTAGTGACCACACTTCTGACTCAATACTAAGTTCAAGATACCATAAACTCTCCAAAATGTGCACTCGATGGTAAATTGGCAAAGAGTGAAATTTTATACTTCTAAATTATCTTGCCAAATTAAAGGCAAAGAAAACGATAGTCACCTAGAACTTACCAGAGAAGACGCACAGAAAAATCTCTAGTACTGTAAGTAGATCTGTTTAAAGCAACAGGATCTATGCACTTTGGAAACCTACTTGGGATTTGTTTTCAAGTGTATTCAATGGCTTCACCTCTTTTATCACTTAAAACCTTAAAAGGAGGCCACATATGGGGCGCCTGGGTGGCTTAGTCGGTTAAGCGTCCGACTTTCGCTTGGGTCATGATCTCGTGGTTCGTGGGTTCAAGCCCCGCGTCGGGCTCTGTGCTGACTGCCAGCTCAGAGCCTGGAGCCTGTTTCAGAGTCTGTCACTCCCTCTCTCTCTGACCCTCCCCTGCTCACGCTGTCTCTCTCTCTCTCCTAGAAATAAATAAAACATTAAAAAAAATTAAAAAAAAAAAAAAAGAGGCCACATTTAATTTTGAATAACCCAACCTTGAAATTTGTTTCCGATATACTATATTCAGGAGCATACTATTACATTTCCTCTCAATAAAGTTAATTGAAAAACCATATTAATGAGAATCAATCTTTTTCCTTTCATCAAAATATCCAGAAAAAAATACTACTCTATTTTTTTTTCTACTTTAGAGAAAGAAGAGAACAGCAAAGAGGGGCAAAGGGAGAGAAAAGAATCTTAAGCAGTTCTAAGCTCAGCACAGAGCCTGACATGGGGCTTGATCCCATGACCCGAGCCAAAATCAGCAGTTGGACACTAAACAGGCTGAGCCACCCAGGTGCCCCATTTAAGCATTTTTAAATGAATGGATGCTTTTTAGAAATGTCAGTACAATAATTTACAAAAGTTGTAACATCTTATAATTGTCTAAAAGGTTTTCATTCCCAATACCCTATTATACCTGTAATATTAGGACATCTGAATTTTTAAAAACCTGCATTTTCCTGACTGCTTCAATACTGCAGGAGTTGGTTATTCCAACATACAAGCAGGAAATAAACTTCAAATAAACGTACTATGCTCAAAGGACTACCAACCAGGTTTTACATAAACCCAACCAAAGCATGAGAGAAAGAACTCTTACTTGAAAAGTTAGAGAGGCTTTCTCAATTTTTTCAGGTGACAGTACTCAAAATCTGCTATCCAATTTTCAAATTCTTTCAGGGCTCTGCAAATGCTGTTTGTTTAAGCCTGCTGAACTTCTGGGGTTGACAGCCATTTTCCCTTCAAACTTAATTGTCCATATTATCTATTTTCAATTTTATTAGGTCACCTTGAAATTCCCTCCTCTGAAAAGCAATTGAGGATTTTAGTTGACAACATGTCTCTTTAAAAATTAGCCAATAAAACCCACACATCTTTGGGCCTGCTCCCATTTTACGATTCTCCCTAAAAAACAATCTTTCTCAGGAACCGAATGGCTATACAGGAACTGCTTCAACTTCCCTGGACCTGCGTTAGATTCTTAAAACACCTTGAGATCCAGTCCTGTGCTGCAGCTATACAGCAGGCGCATGATCTCAGGGCTTTTCAACAGCCCCCAGGTCCCTTACTGCCGCAAAACTTCTCAACAAGCGTTCTATATGCACTAGACTGTTAACAATGTTGGGTTAACCGCTTTACCTGTTTATTTACCAACCCAATCATTTCGGGGAATTTCGAACCCTTCAAATCGCCTTCTGAAACACATCTAGAGTATCCTGTGTTGATACTCAGAGAAAGATCCGCAGCGGGATAAAAACGAGTTGGGATGTTCCTCCCCTGACCCAAATTGCTGTTGCCAGGATATGCGGTAGTAATGCGGTGGTTTCTTTGACACTCCAAGGATGTACTTTACCCTAGAAATAGCCAAGCTCTACTAAATCCCTTCTGGTCGCCGAGATTTCTGCGGGAACAATGCTCAACGGGAAGGATTTTTAAACACCCCAAAGCCGAGTTATTCTAATTTGGCTTTTTTTTGTTTGTTTGTTTTGCTCAATAATGCCTGCCATCACGAGGACGTTTTTCCATACAACGTTTGCAACTAAAGAAAGGAAAAAAGAAGCTTGTGGCGCTAGTTATCACACGCTTAGGAAGTCCATTATCATTACGCTTCTTAAACATCGTTCGAGGTAGGACGGGGGCCGGGCTTCAGGCGCCCACAGTCCGACAACTGACTGTTTTCCAAGCAAAACTAACGGCCTAATAACAACAACAACGTTTATGCCCGGAAATTTCTATGTTTGACCAACCAAGACGGCGTCGGGTAACTAACGCACCCTCTTCCGTGGGAAGAAATGAAGACAAGACAATGAAAGGGATTTATCATAGTGAGTGAGGATGGACGAAGGACGAGCCCAAGCAGGGCCGAGCGGGCAAAACCCAGGAGTTCGTGAGCCCCGGTCTGAGCAACACTCGCCCGAAGACCTCCCAACCCACCTCTCTTCTCCCCACCCCCCTCTTCCCGGGAGCCCGCCCGACGCCTCCGCAGGCCGGGAGGACCCGAGGGGAGCACGGTCCGCGGCCCGAGCTTCCGAAACCCACCCAAGCAGGCCGAGGCCGCCAATGCGGCGGCCTAAGTTTTAACAGGTAAGAGAATACGAAGTGAAAGCAGACGGGGCCTCGCCTCAAGCTGGGAGGCCCCTTGAAGAATTGGGAGGCGGGAGCAGAGCGAGCCGGTTCATAATCCGGAGCGGAGCCTGAAGGAAAAGAGATGGGAGCGGGGGGGGAGGAGGAGGTCCCGGCTGGGCCAGCGCCTTCCCGGATCCTCGGCGACGCCCGTGTTTACCTGAAAGTCTCGGTCCTCGTTGAAGCGGGAGAAGCGGTCCGCCATTTTGCCGCCTTCGCTCCTCTTAGGACGAAGCTCTCCGGTTCGTTCCTTCCCTCCCGCGACACCCGCCCCCTCGCTCGCCTCCCCAGTTCCCCGCCTCCTCCCACGCCCACCCGGCGCGCGCAGGCGAGGGAGGGAGGAAGCGAGAAAGAGCGTCCAGAACGGAGCCCCCCAGGCGCAGGCGCCTTGCGGCCCTGGAGGCGGAACCTTCCCTTAAGTCCCCTCTCCTCTCACGGCCCAGAGCGACCCAGGCGGCCGCGCGTGCGCGTTCGCGCCCGAGAGCAGCAAGCGCTTCCGGAAAGAAAGGTCATGGGGGCACAATGCGCTTGTGTCCGGATGTGTTCCACCTGCTCGCGTGTACGAGTGCGGTATATTTTCTTACCCTCTTGTTTCCCTGTGTGTGCAGACGCTCATCCTCAGCTTTAGTCACTAAATAGCAACGCGATGTAGTGGTTGAAAACGCGGAATTGGGACCAGACTAGCTCCTTTCGAATACTGGCTTGCTCTGAGGATTAAGTGGCTAACGAGACAGGAACGAGCGCTTCTCTCATAGGACTTACGTTGCAGTGGAGAAAATCAGATAAATAGTAAAATATTTACATAATTTTAAATATTAACGAGTGCTACAAAAAAAAATAAAACAAGGTGCAGTGCATTTCAGAGATCTCTAAAATGATCTTTGACTTTTAGGAATAGCATGGGGCCCAGAGGCTTAGAGCAAAGGGAATGTTAGATTTAAAGGCCTTTTAACTGTTAGGAGTTGGCTTTTTTAATGTTTATTTTGAGAGAGAGAGAGAGAGAGAGAAAGCACAGGCACACGAAGGGGAGGGGCAGAGAGAATCCCAAGCAGGCTCTGTGTTATCGCGTAGCCGGATTTGAGACTCAGTCCCATCCGTGAACTGTGAGATCATGACCTGAGATGAAACTAAGAGTTGGATCCTCGGGGCGCCTGGGTGGCTTAGTCGGTTAAGCGTCCGACTTTCACTTAGGTCCTGAGCTCGCGGTTTGTGGGTTCGAGCCCCGCGTCGCGCTCTGTGCTGACTGCCAGCTCAGCCTGGAGCCTGTTTCGGATTCTCTGTCTCCCTCTCTCTCTCTGACCCTCCCCTGCTCACGCTGTCTCTCTCTCTCTCCTAGAAATAAATAAAACATTTAAAAAAAAAAAGTTGGATCCTCAACTAAGCCCTCCAGGTCCCCCAAGAGTTGCCATTTTTAGGAAATTTTTAGAGTAAATATTTTTCAGGAGACCAAAGTCGATCCAAATAAACTAAAGCTCTCTGGGTTTCCGTCTCCTTTTTATAAAATAAGGAAATTAAAGTTGGTAATCTCTACTGCCCATGACCGGCAATGACTTTGTGTGGGTTATGAATCAGATTTTTCCATCCTATGGCTTTCCTGAGGACCCCACCCAGCCCTCCAGCTCCCTTAGCCAAAATACATAAAATGTAGAAGAGGTGTGAAAACTTCCCTGCTTTTGAAGAGTAGTTGACAGAAATCATAAAATGGAAAATAGCCCTTACAGGAGTCAAGTGGAATATAAATACTTGTGTCTTCTATTCCTTTGTTACTCTCTGCCCCACCCAACCCCAGTCCAAACAAATTACAATTTTAAGCTCTGAAAAGAACTATCAAGGAGAGGCAGAACACAGAATGTAAACATTGTAAAGAGACTTGAGGGTAAAAGTGTGGCAGGTTGAAACATATAGATACACCCCTTCTCCCTCTCCCAAACACTAAAATGACAAAGGATAAGGGCAGTAAACTCACATGGACAAAGAGACCTGAAGAAGGGAAAACAACAGCAGGGAAGAGATGTCAACAACATTTTGGAAGCTGGAGGGGTTCCTGAATGGCTTAGTAAGTAAAGTATGTAACTCTTGATCACAGGGTTGTAAGTTTGAGCCCCCATTGGGTGTAGAGATTATTTAAAAATAAAATCTTTTAGGGGCGCCTGGGTGGCTTAGTCGGTTAAGCGTCCGACTTTCGCTTAGGTCATGATCTCGCGGTTCGTGGGTTCGAGCCCCGCGTCGGGCTCTGTGCTGACTGCCAGCTCAGAGCCTGGAGCCTGTTTCAATCTGTGACTCTCTGACCCTCCCCTGCTCACGCTGTCTCTCTCTCTCTCTCCTAGAAATAAATAAAAAAACATTAAAAAAAATAAATAAAATAAAATAAAATCTTTTAAAAAAGAAAACATTTTGGAAGCCGGAGAACATAACTAAATGGAAATGGCTTTAGTAGAATAGAAAAAACAAATTACTGGAGTGGGGAAGCCAGGAAACTAGTTGACTAATGCTAAGGTGTACCAGAAAGGTTCAGGATTTGAAATCACCAGGTACCAAGATGAGAATGTAGATGGAGTTGAAAACCAGACTCGTTACAAGGCAGTTTAGGAAGCGAACTCTCAATCCCTTTGTCCTCTGGAAAGACTAAACAAAAGAGACTTTAACATACCTGGCACAGATAAGGAAAGAGGTACTATGCTGAAAGTGAGAAGATTTGGTAAAAGCTAACATTCTGGTCAGACTTGGGCTTCTTCCAGCTTAGTGGGGAAAGAACCTACACATACCAAAAATGGCAGTGGGAGTGGGGTCTCCCCAACATATGAAGGTCACGTTCCAGCCCAGATATCCCACAAAGAAGTCCATCATCCCAACGCCCCATATACACGGAGCTTCCACGGAGCTCTTAGGTATGAATGGATGGCCAAAGATAACCAGACGTTGAAAGGAACTGTAAGACAGAGACACCGCCACCCCAAAACAAAACAAAAAAACAGCAAGGGTAATTCAGAGGCACCAGAGATAATGGAAATAATAAAGGAAGCCATCAGAAGAATTGTAATCAATATCCACAGAAATATGAGATTACCTCAGGAAATAAGGGACCACATCAGGAAGCATCGGATGCCAGAAAAAGAAAAAAAAGAATATTCAGAGATTAAGAACTTTTGAAAGTTAAAATACCTTAAGCAGAAATGAAAAATTCAGTAGAAGAGTTAGGAAATAGTTGCAGAAATCTCCCAGAAAACAATAGAAAGACACCCTGGTCCAAGCCATCTTTACTTTCCCCTTCATCATTGCAATAGCAACTAAGTGTTCTGCCCCCACCCTGACCCCGTACCATCTTCAAAGGAACTATGGTGGTACCGTTACAAGGTCAATTAGATCAGATTAGTCTTCTGCTGAAACCATTCAGTGGCTTTCCCTGTCATTGACATCAAAGGCTTCTATCACCTGACCTCTCAGACCTCATTCCTCTCTGCCCCCTGTGTCCCTCCTCTGTGGGCACAGTAACTTCTCTGCTGTACCGTGATCCTCCAGACCTGCTCCTGCCTCAGCCTGTGCTACGTATGGGCTAATGTATATGCTGTTCTTTCTGCCTCATTCTTTCCAAGATATCTTATCCACGTGGCTTGCCCCCTCATCCTCTGGTCTTTATTCAAATGTTAGTTTCTCAGTAAGATCTTCCTTGATCACCCTATTTAAAATCGTGGAGCTCAGTATTCTGAACTTCCTAGCCTCTTTCCCTAATTTTCTTTTTCTCCATAGTAGTTACCACTTCCTAATATGTAATGTAAACTCCATGAGAGCAGAGGTTTTGTTCAGTCCTTCTATATCCTATATCTAGCTCTAGTCCCTTCTATATCCCTAGCACCTAGAATAATGAATGACACATAATAGGCCCTAAAGAAAGATTTTTTTTGAACAGATGAGAATAGGAAAGAATAGATAAGAAAATTAAGTATCGATCCAATATCTGAATAGCAGAATTTCCAGAAAGAACGGGGCAAAAAGGAAGGAAGAGCATATTGAAGAATGACTAGTGTGCAGCAGGCTTAAAAACACCCAATCCAGATGAAAACAAGAGGACAGAAGCCCCAGGAAGGTTGTTGGCCAGCCAGGAAGAATACTGCTAGAATACTAGTGGGTCCGAAAGAGACATTTCCATTTCTCCAAAGTGTATAGAGGGGGAAGTCAGTGATAAGGATATAGAAAATGAGGGAAAGAAAGAAGAAAGAAAGAAAGAAAGAAAGAAAGAAAGAAAGAAAGAAAGAAAGAAAGAAAGAAAAGAAAATTAACTTCAAGGGAAAATATTATAAGGAAAAAAATTTTTTTAAGATTTTTTTTTAAGCAACCTCCACACCCAATGTGGGCCTCGAACTCACAACCCCAAAGTCAAGAGTCACACACTCCACCAAGTCAATCAGTTGTTAAGCACTTGGCTTAATTTTTTCCTGTAAGGAAAAAATTTAAAGTTAGTAATTCTACTCTATAACATGGCTTAACTGTGAAAAATATCTACAGTCACAATAATATAAAAACTGAATATTGGGCGCCTGCTGGCTCAGTTGTTAAGCACCTGACTTCAGTTCAGGTCGTGATCTCCCAGTTCATGAGTTCAAGTCCCACATCTGATGAGCTCGAGCCCCACTTGGGGTGAGCTTGTGCCCCACTTCAAGTGAGCAGGAGCCCCACTTCTGGTTAAAAAAACATAAGCCCAAGGTGAACCCCACTTCTCTGTCTCTCTCTCTGCCCTTGTGGGATGCTCTCTCGGCCACTTGCTCACTTGTGCCTTCTCTCTCTCTGTCAAAAAAGAAAACAAACTGAATATTGATCTAATAAAAATGTTTAATAAAAGTATATAGTGAGGGTATAGGAAAGGAAAGGGGGATAGTTTGAAAGATTTAAGTCTTCTTCCATAATGGGAACTCAATAGGGGCGCCTGGGTGGCTTAGTCAGTTAAGCATCCGACTTTCGCTTAGGTCATGATCTCGCGGTTCGTGGGTTCGAGCCCCGCGTCGGGCTCTGTGCTGACTGCCAGCTCAGAGCCTGGAGCCTGTTTCAATCTGTGACTCCCTCTCTCTCTGACCCTCCCCTGCTTACGCTGTCTCTCTCTCTCTCTCCTAGAAATAAATAAAACATTAAAAAAAATTTTTTTTATAATGGGAACTCAATAGATAATATCTACATTTGAAAAAAATCAAGAAATATTAGTATGAGCATACTATTTAGAATGAAGAAGTATTGGACAGAGGCATGATTAAAAAA